TTCTTTTACGAAATTTCGGAAGAAAATCGGTAAAGAAATGAAAATAATGCTGCTATGCGAAGAATTTCTTGCAGTTTTTTTTCAGAATTTTCTTTATTTTTCGTACAGAAATTTCTTTACGAGTTCGTGTCAACCCTTTCATATAATTTTCTTTGAAGATTCGTAAAAAAATCGTTACAGAAATCAGATACTCCTAAAGATTTCGTTAAGATTTCGGGAACTTTGGCTTGCAGGGTAGTGACCTTAATATTTCGGTATAGACTATCGAAAGTATTGGATACTTTTTAAATCTGTACCGAGTATCGATAAATACTTAAAAGTATCGACTCAGCACATCACTACTAAAATCCTCTAGCTTTTGTGGAAAAAATTGTCAAAATTGTTTTTTGTCCCGTATTCGTCTGCTATAAATATGGTCACCGTAGCTATAGACTTTTAGGAATTGGGCACTTGGGAGATCGATTAATTTGTTGACGACTTCTTCCTGCACCGATTAGTTTGATTTCGATTTGAATCGATTTTTCTATTTCGATCTGGCATCTTTAGTTGGCACCAAGATACAATTTTTCACAGATAATGTCTTCCTAGAGAGTTTTACTTCACAAAGAAACTCGCGCTCTTTTATTTTCATTTTGACGCATTTCATTGTCGGTTCTTTTACTTTAAGTTGGCTTTGCTTTTGGTTTTTGCAAAAGAGTAAAAATTTGTGAAGTGGGCCACCATTTTTTCGAAGGTCGAGCTTTTTTTGTGCAATTATCTGTTTATGCTTCACAACGCCAAAAGAAGAATAAAAGTTTCACAATTTATCGAAATTCGAATTATTTTTGAAGTTATAGCTATTAACATTTTTCGAAATTGTTTAGATTTTAATTGTTTTATCGCGATTGGTAATACCGATTCTGCTAATATTTTAAACATAAAAGTATGATGATTTTTCTTCCCAATTTTATATTTTATTTGGTCATACAATTTTTTTTATGAAAGTTATTAAAACTTTTTTTTAATATTACTGACGTCCCAATGGCGATTGGTAATAGCAATTCTGCTAATATTTTAAACAGATAAGAATGATAATGTTTTCTTCCCATTTTTTTTTTTTTATTTGGTCATACAATTTTTTTTTATAAAAGTTATTAAAGCTTTTTTAAATATTACTGACATCTCAATGGCTTTAAAATCGCGTTTTGGGCTAATATGGTTGTACGTTTTATTAGCAATTATTTGCAAAAAAAACTTTGCCGGAATGCATCGAGACGAAAGCTATTCACGCTTTTCTCTTGACGCCCAATGTATATTGTATGGAAAACGATGAAATGAGTAACGCAAGCGAGCTAGACTCGCTGCCAATCGATACTTGTTGAAGAACTCATGCGAGGTAAATATCTACGGCAAACGTTAACTCTTAAACCCTTTTTATTCAACATTTTATTTTTTTTTTTATTTAAATTTTCAATTGTGAGCTGTGCGACTGATTTTAAATACATAATAAAATGAAAAGGAATTACGGGCGGTGCGTTGTTTGCCAGCTAACTTTACGTTATTAAACCTCCGAATGGTAAAGTGAAGCGACCACAGTGGGCAAATTGCTGCGATGTTTCATTAGGAGACCCTTCACGTGTGCGCGTGACTTTATTTGTTGCCCATCGCAGCCGAGTAGTATTTCTAAGCGGACGCGTTTGATCCCAGGTGCATAATTTATCATACCGAATATGAAAAGGAAATCTCCCACTCATATATATGGATAGACCAAATTTCAAATGGTGATCTGATAAAACCTAAACCAAAGTTCCTTGTTGACATAAAGAAACTGAAAGTAATTTTTAATAAATTTAGTGGAAAGGAAATTTTGAATTGCAAAAATTTAATGGCTAAATTACTGAAGTTAAGTTCTGATGTAAATTTAGAAGAATCAAACTTTTTTTAATGTCTAATATACTTAGAACTAAGTATTCGAATAAAAAAATAAATGCTCAGAAACATTGCAAAAAAGCAAGAAAATTGTCAAAACGGTTTTATAAATGAGCGTGTTTCATTTAGTGGGTAATTTTGTGTAAGTATGTATCTCCACATTTATATTAAAACGAAAATGCAATAACTGAAATGAAGCTGATTCTAATGAGATTTTAAATATTTTGAAATACACAAAAACTTTAATTTTAAAGATATTGAGTTTTAGCAAATATGGTAAATGCATAACAAAGGGTTAATTTCTTTGTTTACATTTTTGACATTACAGCCAGCTATGAGAGAGCTCGACTGAATTGTCACTTCTAATAGCCATTTCTAACAGATTTGTCGTCGATTAGTTTGTAAAAATGGACACATATTATATACATATTATAATTCTAATAAAATAAGGCAAATAGTAAACACGGCTAATTTTTCCGGCTGTTTGCTCTCGCAACCGGCTAAATCTAGCCGGAAAACGGCTAAGCTGGCAACACTGCTCATTTTTATAACAACGGATATGGTAACGTAATTCTGATGGAGATGATATGTAAAGCATTCGCAACGACCAAAAATATCCATTTTTTTGTTTAGAGTATTCAGCATATGTATTTAATTCACCACAACTCAAAGAAAAGTCTAATGATGAGTTATTTACTGGATTATTCTGCTTTCAATAATGCAATTCGCCGAGGTGCAGAAGGTGATGCCAGACATTCTGTGTTAAATTACCCACGAAAACCGGTGAAAAATACCTCAATTACCCACATCTTAAAAATTATCCCATGAAATACGCAAATAATTCAAAATATATATTTCGGTGGTACAAAAATGCGCACCACCTTCCTCAGAGAACTAAAAAAGAGTGTTTCGTGCATCGGGTAGCATTTATGTTGACAACGGAAATAGGTTGTTGCCCGATAATGAAGAAATGCTTCTCTTCATGTTGAAAAATATAAAAAAAAAATTTAATTATAATTATTAATAGTGCAATTGGGTATAGTCGTTGCGCTGGGTATGCAGTTATAGTTGCATGGCTATACTCAATCCCGACTCTTGCATCCTCGTTCGCGCACTCTGGGCAACGTGAGCAACCCATGTGTGCAGCGTCTGTTTACCAGTAGGTGCGGCTGCAAGCGGCTCGCTATATAAACGTGTATTTGATTGCGAAACCACCTCCGTCCCAGCAATGGGTTGTGCGCTGGGTTTGGGACCCGCCACGTAAAGACCACTTCCAGTGAAGAACCAAGGCCAGCTGCCATGTAAATGAGCGCAAATTCGGAGTTGGATTTGTGGTGGGAGAGAAACTCCGTCGCCGAATACTGTCGTTCACCCCGGTGGACGAACGTCTAGCCACAATCCGCATCAAAGCGAGATTCTTCAACATCTCGCTCATCTGCCCATGCCCCGACGGAAGAGAAGGATGAGGCATCCAAGATCTCTTCTATGAGCGCTTAGAGCGCACGTACGAGCGCCGCCCCGTCATGATATCAAAATCGTGCCTGGCGACTTCAATGCCAGGGTGGGCAAGGAAGGGATCTGTGGAACCACCGTCAGAAAATTCAGCGTAGACGAAGAAACGTCCGACAACGGATTGAGGCTGATCGACTTCGCCGGGGCCTAAAACATGGTAGTATGCAGTACTAGGTTCAAGCATAAAAAGATCCATCAAGATACGTGGCTGTCTCCGGATCGAAAAACGAGAAACCAAATCGATCATGTTGTGATAGACGGAAGGCACGCTTCCAGTGTTTTAGACGTACGCACACTCCGAGGCCCAAACATCGACTCGGACCACTATCTTGTTGCAGCCAAGATACGCACCCGCCATTAAGTACCGCCGCCGAAGAAGTAGTCGGATTTCAGCAAGCCCGAAAGAACAACTGGTACAATGGGGAAAGTCAGGAAGCTGCAGAGAAAAAAGATGCCGCCTACAGGGCCACGCTGCGATCGGGCGCAACGCGCGCTATGTGGCACCGCAACAGGGATCTGAAGAGGGAAGCGAGACATATTTGCCGCAATAAGAAGAGAGACGCCGAAATTCGTGAGTGCGAAGAGCTTGAAATGCTGGCCGACAGGTAGAATGCCCGAAAACTTGTATCATAGAGTTAGGCGACTTACGGAAGGTTTCAACCTAGTAACCGATGTCCAGAGCGTACTTGAATTATGGAGGGAACACTTTTCAGCCCTACTAAATGGTAGCAGCACGGAAAGTTGTAGAGAAGAAGATGAGGACGAAGTCGACGTTCCACTGCCTGACTATGACGAGGTACATATAGCAATAACGCGGCTGAAAAACAACAAAGCTGCTGGAGCTGACAGCCTGCCAGCTGAGCTATTCAAGTACGGTGGGGAGGAGTTGAAAATTTAATTTAAGTGTGCCGCGGGATCAGCCATCTAAGCATAGGTTATAAAGTTTTATCGATCGTATTGTGTGAAGGACTGAAGCCCACCGTCAATGAACTGATCGGGCCTTATTAGTGTAGCTTCAGACCTGGCAAATCCACCATAGACCAGGTATTAACAATACGCTAAATCTTGGAAATGACCCGGGAAAAAAGGATCGACACTCATCACCTCTTTGTCGACTTTAAAGCCGCTTTTGATAGCACTAAAAGGAGTTGCCTATACGCCGCTATGTCTGAATTTGGGATCGCCTCAAAACTCATACGGCTATATAAAATGACGTTGAGCAATACCACCAGCTCCGTCAGAATAGGGAAAGACCTCTCCGAGCCGTTTGCCACCAAACGGGGTTTCAGACAGGGCGACTTCCTTTCATGTGACTTCTTTAATCTGATGTTGGAGAAGATAATAAGAGCTGCAGAACTGAACCGCTCAGGAACAATTTACTACAAGAGCGTGCAATTGCTGGCTTATGCCGATGACATCGACATCATCGGTAACAAAAACCGCGAAGTCTGTTCTGCCTTTTCCAAGTTGGATAGGGAAGCAAAGCGCATGGGTCTGGTGGTAAACGAGGACAAGACGAAGTATCTCCTGTCATCAAACAAACAGTCAGCACATTCGCGCCTTGGCACCCACGTCACTGTTGACAGTTACAATTTCGAGAAAGTAGAGAATTTCGTTTATAATTATCACGTTCTTAATTTCGTTGGATTAGATGTCAAATGGCACGTCTACTGAATTCATGCTAGTTATTGCATAAAACAGACTACAAGCCATTTAAAAACCTAATTCTAATCCATACGCATGTATATCGCACAGGTAACGTAACAGTCTTTTTCTGTATCGTAAAAGTCCGAGCATCTTTTGCAAATATTGACTTCAAAATTAGGGTGCATTCCAAAACGTCAAAATACAAAGCATCAGTATCTTTTATTTCTAAACCTCATTCGATTGTGATGCCAAATGACGCTAACTTTCAACTAGGTTGCGCAAGTTGGACTTTTTCTCCTAGTGCGGTTTAGAAATAAAAGAGACTGATGCTTTGTATTTTGACGTTTTGGAATGCAGCCTTAATTNGATCGCCTCAAAACTCATACGGCTATATAAAATGACGTTGAGCAATACCACCAGCTCCGTCAGAATAGGGAAAGACCTCTCCGAGCCGTTTGCCACCAAACGGGGTTTCAGACAGGGCGACTCCCTTTCATGTGACTTCTTTAATCTGATGTTGGAGAAGATAATAAGAGCTGCAGAACTGAACCGCTCAGGAACAATTTACTACAAGAGCGTGCAATTGCTGGCTTATGCCGATGACATCGACATCATCGGTAACAAAAACCGCGAAGTCTGTTCTGCCTTTTCCAAGTTGGATAAGGAAGCAAAGCGAATGGGTCTGGTGGTAAGCGAGGACAAGACGAAGTCATGCCATCAAACAAACAGTCAGCACATTCGCGCCTTAGCATCCACGTCACTGTTGACAGTTACAATTTCGAGAAAGTAGAGAATTTCGTTTACTTGGGAACCAGCATTAACACCGATAATAATGTCAGCATTGAAATCCAACGTAGAATCACTCTTGCCAACAAGTGCTACTTTGGACTGAGTAGGCAATTCAGGAGTAAAGTCCTCTCTCGACGTACGAAAACCACGCTCTATAAGTCACTCATCATGCCCGTGCTGGTATATGNCATACGCATGTATATCGCACAGGTAACGTAACAGTCTTTTTCTGTATCGTAAAAGTCCGAGCATCTTTTGCAAATATTGACTTCAAAATTAGGGTGCATTCCAAAACGTCAAAATACAAAGCATCAGTATCTTTTATTTCTAAACCTCATTCGATTGTGATGCCAAATGACGCTAACTTTCAACTAGGTTGCGCAAGTTGGACTTTTTCTCCTAGTGCGGTTTAGAAATAAAAGAGACTGATGCTTTGTATTTTGACGTTTTGGAATGCAGCCTTAATTTGATCAGTTCAATAAATTCGTAGTTCTTGAGTTATATAAGCAGAGCAGACTTTTTAGATAATATAAAGCAGCGTTAAAAAGTACTTCCAAAAATTGTAATGTAACAGTCCGCCGTTGAAAAATTTATAACTCCTAAACAACAGGAGGTACAATATATTTTACGTATATATTAAATATTGTCACATACTTATGCTTTCAGATGTAAGAAGAAAAAATAGCAGAATGTTGTATTCTAGCAAGTTTCAGCGGAATTTGGATAGCACTTTGAGCCAAAACGTATTGTAATAGTACGCGTTTTGGGCCATATCATCATTTTCTTTAATTTATAGAGTCAGAAACAATCAGCGCAAATCAAAATATATTTATAATAAAAGCCTAATAACTAAGAAGCAATTACATTGTAAAAATATAATAACAAGTTATGGTTTTGATATTTCTGGACATAAGCAATTACATATGTATTGAAAAAGGCACTTTACAGATGCAAATACATATCGTGTAAGAACACCTTAAGTAACTAATGCGGCTGTCACGATTTGCGAACAGGGCTGCCAGAACTTTTCAGGTAAGTTGTCGACCCTACCGAGTAACAGTATAATCTTTGAAGCGATGGTTAAGTTGAAAAAAATAAGAAATCGCAGTCTGCCATTAGATTGTTATACATAATTTTAATGGCCTATAAATCCTCTTCTCATGTTTGATTTTTAAAATCGGGGGAAAAATAGTCAAGCTGTTAATAGATAAGTCCCCCAAGTACGAAAATAACGTATTTTTTAATAAAAAAAATGGAGGATTCGGGAACTATAAAACACCTATGAGAAATGTGTAAAACAGGAAAATTTTTACAATATGAAAAAAACACTCTACAAATCCGTACATCTTCACGGAAAGCTAAAAATCCGCACGTTGAATCCGTACAACCATTTTCATGTCTATAAATTAGTACCGTATGGAAAATCCGTACATCTGGCAGGGCTGTTTGCGAAGAGAGAATGATCAAAGTAAAGAAAAACGACCAACATTGGGCGGGCAGGGTGAAAAGCACAAAAACGTTACTATTCGCTATTCTTTTAAAAAAATCACTATTTTTTTGTTTAGGCACGTGCTAAGTAAACATTACGACAAACAGCTGATTGTTCGATCATCAAAAAATCAAAGGTACTAATTGTATGAAAAAGTACAGCATAGCTTTAATACGAAAGTACAATAAGTAGTTTTGAAAGGCAATTTTATGAAATTTACTTTATGCTTAATAATTTTCATAAACTGAAATATTAATAATTTTATTACCTGGACCCTCAAAAACCGGAAATTTTGATGTCCGGGTGCGTCGTCAAAACCGACATGGACAAAGATCAAAAAAACCGGACTGTTGGCAACTCTGAGTATATACCCTGCTAGTAATTGGAAGTTATTAAAGGTAAATTAACTCGTATCACAAAAACAAAAAAAAAACATTTCTCTCGCTTTTTGTCTTCTTAGCAAGTTTTCGGACAATTTTTTTTTCTTAAATCTTGAAAAGAAACGAAGGAATTCCTGGAAGATCATTCAAGTATAATATTTTTTTTTTATTTTCCCTTTGTTTGGCTTTTTCAATTAACGTGCAAGTGAACAAATTCGATTAACCAATAATAAAATTACATTTAAATACTAAACAGATGCGTTATTTGATTTATTATGTTAATGCCTTTTTACTATACGTTTTTGGAACTGCTTTCAAAATATTTGATTCGAATGATTTAATAATCTAAGCCAAAAACAAAGGGATACACATCTAACTTTCCCAATAATCTACTTTGACTTTTCAGGCTATGTATTTCGCATAAGTTACTTTCATTCCTAATTGTTGTATCTTCTTATTATTTGTCGCTTTAACCGTCTATGCGATTTTGGCCGAGTTCAGCAAAGCGCGCCAGCGTTTCTCTTTTGTGCCAACTAAACGCCAATTGGAAATGCCAAGTGAAACCAAGTCCATCTCCACTTGGTATTTCCATCGGGTTCCGAGTTGAATACTTTCATAGTTGCAGCGTCGGAGTCCATTCGAAAGACATAGCGAAGCAAGCGAAACCGCTGTATAACTTTCTTATTATAAAGACGTGACGTCTTGGTGGAACAGTTCTACTCGACGGCGGATAAGAATTCGAAAAACGTGTTATGATCGGCGATGATTTTCATAGAAATGTCATATCGAACTAGTAACATCCGGAATATAAAATGCTGGCAGCGTATAAACAAATTGGTAATAACAGGAAGCCTTGAAGAATGAATTGTTTGTTTATCTGTATGTATATTAGGGTGGTTAAAAAGTGAAGTATGAAATTTTAATGTTTTCACCCCCTAGGTTTGTTCTATATCGAAAGATTATATGTATCTCGCTTTCTTTTATTTTGAAATCAAAACATATTTAGAGGTCGCCCAAAGCGCTCAAAATGTTCCATGTATTTTGCATTGGAAAACAAATTTTTCGTAGATATAGTATAGAATTCCTGAAAATCAATATATTTGATCGCTAAGCTCTGTTTCCCTTGAGGAGAATTCCAATAATAATGCCCAATTGTTTATTTTACCATTTTTTATTACAAACGGTTTTTACTATTAAAAAATTATTATAAACAATTGGGTATTATTATTGGAAGTCTCCTTGAGAGTAACAGAGTTTTCCGATCGAAAAATATTGATTTCCAAAAATTCTATACCATTTGAAGGAATAATGGTTTTGGGAAGAGGAGTCAGGTTAGTTAGGAAGGCGTGTACGAATGACTCATACTTCCACTCGGAGGCAGATTTGCCCATTGTGAATGTCCTCTATGAGTGCAAGGAGGAGACACATCTTTCTGTCAAACCATTTACTATCCCGGATGAAACCATGGAGGTGCGATATTTTCAATTCCGCTATCTCTCCCAGCTTTTAAAAACGTCATCCCAAATGCTTGAGATGCCTTTGAGGGACCTCTAAATCATTTAAGAACAATCCTAGGGGGTGAGGGCATTACTTTTGTTTGGACCACCCTAATGTACATAAGTTCATACATAAGTGAATACAACTTATTTTTATCGCTTATCGTTTGTTATAGCTTGATAACAATGTTTATATTGCCCCAAAGGCATGGACACAGCTTGGAAGGTGTTTACCGTAACTTATCTGTAAAAAAATCTTAAATAAAAACTAATACGGCTAAGATTAATCTTTTTCCAAAAATTCATAGTCGTATAGGCTATACCAGTATACGTACATATGTATGTATGAAAAAATATATTACGATCTTCAAAATACAAGAAATAACATTTCTTACCAGGCTGTAGATTAATATTTAAAAACGTACAAATTACAAAAATGTTGAAGATTTTACAGACCGTTGTCGCGGCGTCTATTGCTAAATTACGATAATCTTTGAGGGTTTTTAAGAGTGGAGGTAAGAAAAACAATAAATTCATGAAAAGAATGCGTCTATGTAAAACATACATACATACAAACATATGCAGAACAGAGAAGCGCACCGAGTATAATGAAACTTAGTATATCCCACTCACGATCCATAATTTGTTCTACTTATGTACATGCATTCATACTTATTGAAATCCCTCGAACGTCATATCCACCTGGGGCTGCCAACCGTACTATAATATATTCATAGTATTGTACTATTTTTTCGGTCTGCGCATTATATACTGTTTTAAAAAATATAGTATGCAAACTAATATTTCTTCAGTTGCAAATAGTTTGTAGGAAAAATGTGTATTAAATGGATGACCTTTGTACTGAAATAACAATATTACAAGAAATATTCTTTAAACTAAAAGGTCATGAATAGAAATACAGATCAAAAATGGCAACATTTTTAAAAATACTGAGAATGAATTGCCAAATTTACTTAAATATATTTAATTTCTGCTCTCCATTCCTGCAACTTCGGAATTCACAGAAAGAGTTTCTTCCATTATGGATGTGAAATGGCGAAATGAGAGAAACAAAGCGATTACCTCCCTACAAGTTCATTAATTTCGATTCACATTAATTAAAATATTGATTGCGATAAAGCATATGATACTTTCATATTTAGTTAACAAGGAATTGTTAAAACCTGTCAAAATTGCAAAGAAATATATTAAGAAAAAAGATTTATACATAAAAAGCGTTTTTACTTTTCCTTTTAAATAACTATATATATTTGAAGTGTACTTTATTTTTTCAGATTTGTTTGATAAAGTGCTATAAATATTTTACAAAATGTTGGCCCTATCCACCCTTTTTTCTGTCATACTCATACTTAACAACATGCATGACGCGATCAAACTTCAACTCTCTTTGGCTTGATGTGCAGAGAGCTGAGGGAAAAAGTAAGATTTATGAGTGCAGATCAGTATCGCCATCATTTTTCACGGAAACGATCTGGATCATTCTTATTGAGGCTGGCAGCACTGATTTTATACTACTAGCAGTGAATCGGTTAATTACACTGGTTTACAGCAAAAATGTTCTATTGATGCCACTATCCAATTCCCATGTAGAACTCCTCGGTGATTCCGAAAATCGAAATAATTTTTTTTCTATGGATGACTTTTCGAGGTATTTGCAATTTACTGTTATTCAGATTTAAAAAATTGTGGTTTCACTTAATCACGTATATCTTACGAAACAATTGAATAATCGTAATATAAGACACGGGAAATGAAAGCAAATGAAATTCTCCATAAAACGGATATGCATCACTGTTCGGTAGCCCTGTCCCTAATCAACTCAATTTTCGGAATCAGCGAGCGATTCTACATATAGATTGGATAGTGGCGTCTGGAGAACAAAATCAAAATTTAAATTTGTGATCCAGTGTTACCAAAAAGAATAAGTCAGCATGTTTCCGATATGGAATATTTATTGAAGTTGAACATACCTCCTTTAAACTAACCGAAATGCATCAAACTTGTGGAATCGAAAAAATGCTCACCTCTTTTCCTTGGTAACAACAAAAAAGTGGTGTGCGCCTTTAACCAGACCTACCTACCGACCTGTATTTCGACCCGTTGAATCCAAATCTGAGGCCCGTTTGACTCATACATAATGTGACAAACTATTCATAGCTCAAAGAAGTACAGGAACTGGAAACCTAAAATAGTATGAAAGTAATGAGAAAATGGTAAAAGCAGAACATACAAAAATGGTAACAGTGTACCAATTCAACAAATCAATTTTATTAATTAAAAATCTATACTATATATTATTCTAAGGCGGGGCGCTTATTTCCAGCGATCTACTAATCGTACAAGTCATGTGTCAAATTAAAGTGCTCGATCTGAAACTTTGCACAAACATTCCACGTTTAAGAATCATTAGACCACTTTTTCAATATTTTCACGGAAATTTTTTAAAGTTTTACATTGAACAAAGCATTGCTACGTTCATTTCAATAGGCAGCAACTGTGGAGCGCTCTGAGTGTGGAGTAAAAAAGGACGCCTACAGCAACACCTCGAATGAGTGTTTTCGGAGCGCTCGGAATATATAAAGTGCTTTTAACCGACTTCACAAAAAGGAGGAAGGTTATGAGTTCGTCGGAATATTTTTTTTTTCGTTAAAAAAAAAAAATTAAAATAAATATATTTTGTATATTAGAAAATATACACATGTGTATGTATGTATGTCGCACATTTCTTTCTTTCTGGAATATCGTATATTAAGTTTCACTTCTTCCGCGCGTAGGGACTACACGCACTGCGTTTTTTTTTATTGATGACATGTTACTAGGGATGTTAATTTTTCGGCTTTTTCCGATCCCGGGTTTTTCGGGATGGCGTTTCCGAAAAAATTACTTCTATATTGTTTGAGAAGCTCTCATACCATGAAATAAATAATAAATAAATGGGTTTGAAACCTACTTTTTTATTTAAAGTGGCGTTTTTATTTTTTCTCTCTGACCGTAGGATTTATTTTTAAGGACTTTGTAATTTCAAAGATATGATTAATTCCAAAAATTATTAAAAAATTCAATGCAACGTAGAATAAAAATATGAGTAACAAATGCAACAGGAAATTTCTTTATAAATTAAAAAATTTAGATTTTTTGGATTCACAAGGACGAATAGGTAATTTTTAAGCTGACGAATGAAGCGAATTTTCAAGCGAAGAATTATCTAGTTTATATAAGCCCTTCACATATAATTTCTCAAAAACAAATATTGCGAAATTTCAAAGATAAAATTTTAAAATGACATTTTCAATATTTACTAGCCCTTCTGCATTAGAAACTTGAATCTGTTTAAATTCTACAGGATTTCCTCTTAAATTTTATAGCCATACTTCTTCTCTAAGCACATTTCTCTAAATTTTTAAAATCATTTTTGAACTACTGACGTCAAAGTGAAAAAACTAAAAACGCAATTTTACTATATTTGGCCCATGGTTTCGCGAATATATTGATATTTGTGTTTAAAATTTACTATCGCGCAGTGGTATATATATAATGAGCTAGACATTTATAAAAAATATTAATTATTAAATAAAAAAAGAAATATAGCCAATACTGGTCAAGAAAAGGAGTTTCTATTATTGCCATCAGTGCAAATTACTTGCCAAGAATCCCGGGATTTTCGATACCTTAAAAAGTCCGGGATTCCGTGATCTCGGGATTAACATTCTTAGATGATAGTAACCGCGATTTTCTCATGCGCATTTAAGAAACATTACAAAAAAATTAAGATTATCAGTTAGTGGAAGAAATAACCAATATACTAGATGATTGTATGAAATTAGTAAATCGTCAATAAAAACAAATTGGATTTTTTCAGCCAGCGGACATGGCAAAAGATCTTTCGACGGAATTGGAGCTCTGGTCAAACATTATGCGACTAACCACAACTTGCAAAAATCACATATGGAAGGAATACATAATACAGACGCATTTGTATCAGTTGTACAAAATTATACCAACGTGATTATTCTTTTATACGCTCGAAAAAGAGAAGTGGAACCTTTCAGGGAAAAAATACTAATGAGATCAAAAAACAGAATATATATATGTATATGGATAATATGTGACGCTGCATTACTTAAAATACTGACACTTCTTATTTAAAAAAAAAATTCTTACGACTTTCGAGACGTTTTAGCGTCAAACCTATTGGAAAAAATTATGCTTTTTATGTAGGTAGTAACAACAAACAAATTTTCAAGAAAATAAGAAATTATGTTTTTGAGAAAATTTGCTTTTACAAAAATGGCCGCCATTTTGTTAATTTTCAAAATGTTTCAAATTTACAAGTATGCAAATATAGAGAATTGAAAAAAAATATTCAGCCATTTTTCTCTAAAACCACAGTTTGCCCTAAAATTTTCAGATGCTCGTAACTCAGCGAAAAAAATACGTATCTCTTTATTTGCCCTAAAAAACATGAAAAATTGTATTAAACATTATTTCGAATTTTGAGCCCATTCGCCCTGCATGAATTGAAATAGAATCAGCTACTTAAATTTGAACATATGTAAATTCGGTATAAGCACATTAGGGCAATTCGTATAAACGCGTTAATGCCTCGTAACCAGAGTTGCCGTTGAGAATTTTCGGAAAGTCGCAAAAAAGGGGTCATTGACGAAAAAGAGGGTTACCATATTATTTTTACTTTTCTTTACTAGTGAAAGAAAAAATCTGTTGAATTTAAAATGAAAATAGCGGCACAAGCTTTTCACAAAACAGGGTAGCAAACATACACATAAATCGAGAAGAGTTACATTTCCTTTAAAAGTTTTAAGTGATGCATTTTTTCGTACTTACAGGAGGAATTATTTTTTAATAGCATTTCCTACAAAAATCTCTGAAAAGGGGCAAAAGTCGCACATAATTTTGGAAAAGGGTAAAAAAATTGAAATTTTTAAAAAGTCGGGTCAAAGGGTATTGGCGCTTAAAAAGGGTCTAATTGCCCCTTCAGCTAGGGTTGCCAACCATACTATAATATAAAGTATTGTACTATTTTTTCGGTCTGCGCGCTATATACTGTTGCAAAAAATATAGTATGCAAAAATACTATTATTTCTTCAATAATAAATATAAATGTATTTCAGCAATTTGCAAGAAAAAACTTTTATCAAAATGAATGCCCTTTGTACTGAAATAACAATATTAAAAGAAATATTCTTTAAAATAAGAGGTCGTAGTGTGAGTATTAATAGAACAACAGATACAAAATTCCAACATTTTTTAAAACACTTAGAATGACTTACCAAATTTACAACATTTTTTCATTTCTGCTCTTTATTTCCGCATCTTCGGCATTCACAGAAAGACTTTTTTCCACTATGAATTTGAAATGGCGAAATTAGAGAAACAAAACGACTACCTCACTAATAGAAAATGAGCTTTTGATTTATATTAATTTAAATATTGATGGGATAAAGCATATGATTATTTCAAAGAAATATATTTTTTATAAAAGAAATGCATAAGAAAGAAAAAAGATGTATACTTAAAAAGCGTTTTTACCTTTTCTTTTGAATCAAATACTATTTGTATTTGATATTTTTTCAGTTTTTTTTCAAAAAGTACTATAAATGGCTTAGAAAATGTTGGCAACCCTACCTTTAGTCGCACAACGGCAACACTGCTCGTAACCATGTAAATCTCGTAATCTTAATTTTGTATGGAAAATCGGTTTATTTACGAGGTTTGCGCGGTTACGAGGCATTTACGTGTTTCCATGAATACTCACATCATTTTACGTACATTTGGAGCATAGCCAAATAACTCGGCAAATTTTCTCTTATTTTGTAAGGCATTTCAATGCCTTTCCTCCTCTGTAAAGGGGCATAATTATTGGTTAAAACATTGGTTTGGCCTCAACTGCTCTGAAAAATTCCTTTCAATGCCATTTTAAAGGGGCAAGTTTGTTTGCTGTAAGCTCAAAAGTAGATATGGCACCGAGGGAAAAGGAAACAACCATTGAAAAAGTATGCACAAAAAAATACATATCTACTTCTTAGGTACGTTTATCTACTTTTTAGGTACGTTTATCTACTTTAAGGGACAGGTTAATAGGTACCTACAATACGAAAATTTAATATTCATAACTAGTGCGAAAGAAATATTGTGACGTCAGCGAAAGCATGGATGCTGTCAAATCGACAAAGAGAGGTTTAGTGGTCCGCAGAAGGCGCGACCTTTGTTTCGCTGCATCGTGTTTAAGAAGCACTTGTTTCCGTCCCAACCATTTTCATTTGCCAGTTTACTGCTAACGCCGCTACAGCAGTTTCACTTCAAAAACTTTTACTTTATTCATAAAATTTTGCATTTACCCAAATAGTGCGCGTCGGTGAATGTTGGCAACTTTTGGCAACTCTTGTTATAATAAAATCTGTTGTATAAAAATATGTTTTAGAGTACCTAATTTCACGTATTCGTGCGCAAATGTGCATGCCTTGATTTAGATTTAAATACAAAACGTATAGAAAGCTTAAAAGAGCTTTGCCCACGGGCAAGGCGGTGCCCATCACCGCTCCAAACGTACGAACTCCTTTATTGCGCGTTTTTGGTATTAATCCACTCATAATTTTCTGGATACTTTTTTGAGTACAGAAGCACATGAAATAACTATATATATGCACTCGTACACACATATGTATGTTTGTGTTCATTTGCTTTTGGATGTATCCGGCCTTCATGGGCCACACGCCAGTGTGCCACACGTGTTGGCGCCAAAATTAAAACGACGCCAACGCCCCTTCTACGACGTAGTATGTATGAATTTCGCATAAACACAAAATCGCCAACAATGAATAATTTTCTGCTTCAATATGTAGATACATACGTATGTAAGCAGAAATATGTAAATGTTTATTATTTTGTAGCCGGCATGTGTTTACAAAATATTCACGACCCCATGTGATCATAGTTTCACCTACAAACTCACTGCGGTAATTTCCAATACAGGTTTGCTAAGGCACGTACGTATGCAGGTAAGTATGTACTAAATATTGCAATAAATATTTTGAACCCAAATGGTTCATTCGCCTCTGCGGAGAAAGGTGCTGCAGCGTAGATACGCGAACGGGTTTATGGTCCTGCAAATATAGTACAAAGTAAATGTGTATTTGCATTAGAGATGGGCACGGGACTAAATATTTAATCCCGGTACCGCCCATCCCGAAATTCGATTTTTAAGTCCCGAAGTTTTTCAGAATTTTACCGCGGGTCCCGTGGGTCTCGATATCTATCTCTAAAGCAGGCTACAAACGGACAACAAATTGAAACGATCGGTTGAGATTTAATGTTTGTGGCGGGGTTTGCGAACCGATCGAAGGTTGACAAAAATGTTCATGTCTTTCAAATTAATTTCAAATAATAATAAGTAAGAAAGTCTAAGTTCGGGCGGAGCCGAATATTAAATACCCGGCGCAGGTATTAAATATATGTTTTTCACCTTTCCGAAAGCTACCGCTACATGGTAAGCCGGGATGTATCAATTTTGAGTAAATTAGCGTCCTTAAATTCCGAAATATTAAAGTTTCAAGCATTTCTGAAATTTCCCGTTATATGAAAAGCCGCCATAATTTTAGTCCGATTTCAATAATTTTCAACGTTTTGTTTTTATGTGGCAATCACAATAACCATACCGAGTTTGGTACAAATTGGTAAAACGGTTACCGAGATACATATATGTGATCATAAGTGGGCGGTGCAACGCCCATTTTCCAAAATTTTATCATAAACGTATTTCTTGGTAAAAAATTGTTGCAGGCACCAATTTTGCTTTATCGAAGATTTCGTATTTCTCTAAATTACCGTTATATGGGATGTGGGCGTGATTATTGTCCGATTTAAAAAAATTTCGACCATTTCATAAGTTATACCAAGGCCAACAACTGCGCCAAGTTTGGAACAAATTGGTGCAGCTCTTACCAAGATATACACTTGTAACCATAAGTGGGTGTGGCTACGCCCATTTTCCAAAATTTTATCATAAACGTATTTCTTGGTAAAAAATTGTTGCAGGCACCAATTTTGCTTTATCGAAGATTTCGTATTTCTCTAAATTACCGTTATATGGGATGTGGGCGTGATTATTGTCCGATTTAAAAAAAATTTCGACCATTTCATATGTTATACCAAGGCCAACAACTGCGCCAAGTTTGGAACAAATTGGTGCAGCTCTTACCAAGATATACACTTGTAACCATAAGTGGGTGTGGCTACGCCCATTTTCCAAACATTTATAATATTCTTATTTTTCGTCTAAAACTTATTGCAAATATCAATTTTGAGTGAATAATCTTCAGCAGTTACTGATTTATCGCAGTTTTCGTATTTCTGAAAATTACCGTTATATGGGAGATAGGCGTGGTTATTGTCCGATTTTTCCCATTTTCAATACCATCCGTCCTACGCCAGAAAGAAGTGCACGTACCAAGTTTCGTTATGATATCTCAATTTTTAATCGAGTTATAGTGTGCACAGGCGGACGGACGGATAGACAGTCACCGCTTAATCGATTTCTCTTTTCATTCTGATCATTTATGTATACATTTGTCTACATCTATCTCGATTCGTTTTGCCTGTTACAAACAACCGTTATGTGAACAAAGTTATAAAAGTTATAATACCCTTGTGCGCTCAGGTATAAAAATAAATAGCAGTTTTGTAGCTCATTAACAGACGGTTTCACAACCAATTTAAATGGAAAATTATATTTTATTTTCAGTCAATTTCCATAAGAAATTCAAAAAATTAAAATCATTTTTCGCTTAAATTGCTTTCGTAAAATTGGCTGTAAATTTAAGTGCAATCGAGTAAACCTTTTGAATTGAAAAATGGATTATGTATATTTTACGTCGTTTCGAGTTCACCCAAACGACTTCACCAGACCAACGACGTAACGACGTCGATTCGAGCTCATTCTCGCCCTGTGGCAAATTGAGTAGCATGCGCAAATTTTACGACGCCATTTGAAAGTCTCTCCCAGATTTGTTGATTTCGTCTGCGTCTGTCATAGCCGGCATTATTCTAACACTATCTCATAGTTAGCCTATATTTGAGCAATATACATATGTATGTATATATGTACATACATACAATTCGCAAATAATATTTATATTTATAATATGTATATAGGTGCATGAATGTGTATAAATACATACATACATACATATGTAGGTTAACATGCACTAT